TCTCTCCACTCTCTCCCACTCTCTCCACTCTCTCCCACTCTCTCCTCTCTCTCTCTCTCTCTCTCTCTCTCTCTCTCTCTCTCTCTCTCTCTCTCTCTCTCTCTCTCTCTCTCTCTCTCTCTCTCTCTCTCTCTCAAGATAAAAAGTTAAATAAATAGATAGATAGATAGATAGATGGAGAGATATGCACACAATGTACAAACTTACTCTGAAATCTTCGTGGGAGTGAAATTGTGCTTCAAAGAGATATTGTCAAGTTCAGTTTCCATATCAAAATATAGATATGTTGCAAGAGCCTGTCTTGCATGTACGTATAGATTTCTGGTATTATTGAATAATTTTAGAATTAAACAGAAGCTACTTAGCAGCAGTATCTTCATAAAAGCTTTCATTTCATAGGTAGTTGATCTTTGTTATATAGTTGTAATCATGTTAATATTTGAGCTTCATATATCTATCAGCATTTATAATTTGTTACCTTATTTTCCTCTGTATCAGTTTTTCAAATGTATGTTAACTCATATGATCATGTTTTGGTACATATTTTTCAACTTCTGGATCTGTTTTATTTGTCCATCATTGTATTAAATTTTTTTGCAATTTTTGTTTAAATATTATTTCCCTTTTTCAGCTTGGTGATCCTCAAGGGAAGGTTGTTGATGGAACAATATTCCATGTTGTAGAAAATGATCTTTATATCGATTTTGGAGGCAAATTCCACTGTGTTTGCCCTCGACCACAAAGGAATGGAGAGTATGTTATTTTCCTTTCTTCATAGCATTATTTTCATATAACTTGTGTTAAATGGTATATTGTAGTTTGTGAGACAAAGAAGTTTACAGTAGGAATATTTTTTTTATAAGTTTGGCAGTTGCTAGATGAAGGATAATAATAGAATAGCAGATAATGTTTAGTAGTGTATCTTTATCATTTTTATTTTCATTGATTTTTCTCTTTTGCTGCAGAGACTATGTGAGGGGAGCAAGAGTAAGACTTCGCCTGCAGGACTTGGAGCTATCTACACGATTCTTGGGGTCATCAAGAGATTTAACACTGTTAGAGGCAGATGCCATTTTACTTGGTCTTATTAGATCACCAAGAAATGTAAAAACTTAGGCAGTTATTTAATTATTATAACTTTTTTTTTTCATATAACAAAATTAGTACGAATTGTTTATATAAAGAAAAAAAAATTGTGAATAAATATGTATATATTGAATTTTTGAAGTTTGAACTTTCATTTGAAAATATTACCTTTGAATACACTTGATTATTATTTTGATTTTTACTTATATTAAGAAATCTTGAATCTTTTATTTTGGTCCCTGATCGTGATGCCATAATGACTAAGAAGTTTTCGTTACTAATAATCACAGCATGCTGCATTTTTTCCAAGGTATGCTAATATATTAATATAAAGAATTCACAATTCATATGTTGACTTCAAGAAAAGTAGAATTAGACCGAAAAAAAAAATCAAATAATGTGGACCAGAAAGATAAAAAAAAAAGTAATCTCCTTTCAACAAAGAAAGTGAGGGCGAAAAAAAACAAGCAAATAAAGAACTCAATGCAGAGAGCAAGATATGTATGTAAGAAAAAATAGCTTTCTTCTTTCTCAAGAATGACGGGGGAACAGAAATATATTTCTCTATCTGTCTGTACAATCTATCTATTTCTTTTTTCTTTTTATAGTTTGGCTAACTTATATGGTTGGCAAGGGAGTGTGTTAATAACTGGTACATGAAAATTAAAATCTGAAATCTTTAATAAAGGAAAATATAGTGCTGTAAGGCCTTTTATGTCTAGCACATTTATTTCTTCTAACCATTAACCAGTCCATAATGAAGAAGGATAATATAGTAGATGAATGGATTTGTAATATGAAATACTGAAGGACTGAACAATTTTTGTTGTATAGATCATTTAATCTCCAAGGTAATGCATAAGTAATTTCAAGGTTTACAGAACTTTTCAAGTTCTGAAGAAAATAAAAAAACTGTTATAGTTCAAATAACATTATTTGAAGAAAAAACAAACATAGGTTAGAAGCAACAATTTAAGGTTAAATTGTCTGCGAGTACCTACATAAGAACACTGGAGAATAAAGAAATATACTAAGGTTTAAGACACACTCCTTTTTAAATCAAATAGGTGAAACTTTTCATTTAATCCTGAAATCGAATTTCTTTTAGTTTAACGTAATTTGGCATACTGTTTAGGCATTATTTTATGGGTTTAGGATTATCAAATTATATAATGACTTGTACTGCACTAAGGTGATTAAGTGGAAATGCTGCAATGTTTTAAAAATGATAAATTTTAAACAAGTAGTTATTTTTGGTGATATCAAATGAAGATTTATTTGCTTTTATCAAAAGGAATGAAAAAAAATGTTGGGCTATTTTTAATTTTTTTTTTAAGATGCAACAACAACTGTACAAGGTAAATATACATGATTTTACAAAATTTTTGCAAACATGTTAGAACACCTAAATGGA